GGGGGGGGCGGAGATTCAGGAGAAGAGTACCTGTATATGAAGACGGAGGAGATGGCGATGGCCAGGAGGATGAAGCAGATGACTATGGAGGTCACTTCCAGGACGGAGAAGCTGGCTGCCGGAGAAATAACACGGCCGGTCACATGACTTCCAAAAAACATTCACATAAAATGAATACAAACGTATACACACATGTCGGTGAATCTCCCCAGCCCCGCCCCTGTCTCTTACTTTTCATACACTCCGGGTTACTGTTGTCAAATCCGCAGGGCGGGACGTCCCTCGGCACCGCCCCCCCCGGCCAGTGGATCTCTCTCCCCGGCACCCGGTTGATGCTCCTCTGCGTCCCGTTATAATTGGCCACGACCTGAGAGCGACAAACCGACAAGTCAGCTGTCAGAGCCAATCAACGTCCGGCCGCCAACCCCGCGGCTTTCCTCTCACCTGGAAATCTCCGCCCGTCTCGGTCAGGTCCCACAGCGAGTAGTCGTTCTCCCGGTCGCCGTTGTCATCAACCTTCATGAATCCCGACACCCCTATGATAAAAGGAGAGACCTCGTGATTCTACAGGAAATTCGGAAGGGTTCTTTGCACTAAGAGCAGTAGAAAAGTGTTCTTTACAGTAAGAGGGATATGAAGGGTTGTTTACATTGACAGCTGTAGAAAGGTCTTCTTTACAGTAAGAGTGGTAAAATGATTCTATGCAACGAGAGTGGTAAAGAGGGTTCTTTACAGTAAGAGCGATATGAAAGGTTCTTTACAGTAAGAGTGGTAAAATGATTCTTTGCAGCAAGAGTGGTAAAGAGGGTTCTTTACAGTAAGAGCGATATGAAAGGTTCTATACAGTAAGAGTGGTAAAAGGATTCTTTGCAGCAAGAGTGGTAAAGAGGGTTCTTTACAGTAAGAGCGATATGAAAGTTCTTTACAGTAAGAGTGGTAAAAGGATTCTTTGCAGCAAGAGTGGTAAAGAGGTTTCTTTACAGTAAAAGCGATATGAAAGGTTCTTTACAGTAAAAGTGGTAAAAGGATTATTTGCAGCAAGAGTTGTAAAGAGGGTTCTTTACAGTAAGAGCAATATGAAAGGTTCTTTACACTAAGAGTGGAAGGAAGGCTTATTTATAGTAATAGTGGTAGGAAGAGCTCCTTACAGTCAGAATGATATGAAGGATTTACAGTAGCAGCTGTAGAAAAGTATTTTTTACAGTAAGAGTGGTAAAATAATTATTTGCAGCAAGAGTGGTAGGAAGAGATTGTTACAGTAAGAGTGTTTACATTAGCAGCTATAGAGAAGTGTTCTTTACAGTTAGGGTGGTAAAATAATTATTTACAGTAAGGGCCCATTCACACCAGATGCTGCGCTAATTGCACAGTGCTGAAGCACTGATCCCGCTTACATCGCACTGTATACTTTTTTTTCTTAGAACTTTATTTAAATGTCACAAGTGACATTTCATTCCGTTCTACGGGCACAGCGGGGGTGCGAGGCGGTTGCACTGTGTCGCATTCCACTTCTCTGAAAAAAAAACTACAGCATGCTGTACTTTCTTTTCAGCGCACACCACCACGTTCCCATTACAACACATTGGTGTGAACTGATCCTGTCTGTGACAAGGCAAATTGTTTCTTTCCAGCGCATCCCCAACGCAGATTGTGCGAATCAGCCCTAAGAATTTTGAATGGGTTCTTTGCAGTAAGAGTGGTGGAAAGGGTTCCTTACAGAAAGAATGATAGATAAGGTTCTTTACAGTAACAGTGGTAGGAAGGGTTGTTCTTAGTAAGAGTGGTAAAGTGATTCTTTGCAAGAACAGTGGTGGAAAGGGTTCTTTACAGAAAGAATGATAGATAAGGTTCTTTACAGTAACAGTGGTAGGAAGGATTCTTCTTAGGAAGAATGGCAAAAGGATTCCTTGCAGTAAGAGTTGTAAAAGGATTCTTTGCAGGAACAGTAGTAGAAAGGGTTTGTTACAGTAAAAGCATTAGGAAGGGTTCTTTACAACAAGAGTTGCAGGGAGAGTTCTTTACAGTAAAAGTAGTAGGAAGGTTTTTTTTTTACAGTGTACAGAGAGGTTAGGTTGTAGAATGTTCTACTCAGTAAGATAGTAATGACAAAATCAGTAATGACATTTCAAACAGGACCAGATGCTTCCCCAATAGATGGCATCTTACTAATAGATTGCACAGGAATGTTTCCACTGAAACTGATCCATTTGCCAAGAAGGATGTTTTCCCTTGTGGGGTGAAATTGCCCACGGTCAACT